TAAAAGCTTTTGCACAACAAAGGAAACTATAAGCAAGGTGAAAAGACAGCCCTCAGATTGGGAGAAAATAATAGCAAATGAAGCAACAGACAAAGGATTAATCTCAAAAATATACAAGCAACTCCTGCAGCTCAATTCCAGAAAAATAAATGACCCAATCAAAAAATGGGCCAAAGAACTAAACAGACATTTCTCCAAGAAAGACATATGGGTGGCAAAAAAACACATGAAAAGATGCTCAACATCACTCATTATTAGAGAAATGCAAATCAAAGCCACAATGAGGTACCATTATTACACCCCAGTCAGGATGGCTGCTATCCAAAAGTCTACAAGCAATAAATGCTGGAGAGGGTGTGGAGAAAAGGGAACCCTCTTACACTGTTGGTGGGAATGCAAACTAGTACAGCCACTATGGAAAACAGTGTGGAGATTCCTTAAAAAGCTGGAAATAGAACTGCCATATGACCCAGCAATCCCACTTCTAGGCATACACACTGAGGAAACCAGATCTGAAAGAGACACGTGCACCCCAATGTTCATCGCAGCACTGTTTATAATAGGCAGGACATGGAAGCAACCTAGATGCCCATCAGCAGACGAATGGATGAGGAAGCTGTGGTACATATACACCATGGAATATTACTCAGCCATTAAAAAGAATTCATTTGAATCAGTTCTAATGAGATGGATGAAACTGGAGCCCATTATACAGAGCGAAGTAAGCCAGAAAGATAAAGACCATTACAGTATACTAACACATATATATGGAATTTAGAAAGATGGTAACGATAACCCTATATGCAAAAAAAGAAAAAGAGACTCAGATGTATAGAACAGACTTGTGGACTCTGTGGGAGAAGGCGAGGGTGGGATGTTTCAAGAGAACAGCATTGAAACATGTATATCTAGGGTGAAACAGATCACCAGCCCAGGTTGGATGCATGAGACAAGTGCTCGGGCCTGGTGCACTGGGAAGACCCAGAGGGATCGGGTGGAGAGGGAGGTGGGAGGGGGGACCGGGATGGGGAATACATGTAAATCCATGGCTAATTCATTTCAGTGTATGACAAAAACCACTGCAATGTTGTAAAGTAATTAGCCTCCAACTAATAAAAATAAATGGAAAAAAAAAACAATTTATTACTAGTATGAAATAATAATAAAACTACTACTCATTAAATTTGTGTGACACAGGTTATAGTTCTTAAAGAATAAACAATATTCAAAGGCCTAGGCCAAAAAGGAGGAATACTCAAAATTAATGAGCTAATAGTTCAACTTAAGAAAAAGCAGCAACAACAAAAACAAAACTAATTAAACTAAGATAAATCATTATAAACTTAAAAAAATAGAAGGAGTAATGACACAGGAATTCTTAAAAAGAAAGCAAATATACTGTAGACCCCACCTTATTATCCTCTAACAACTTCTAATCCTCTGATAGGATATATGAAGGATAAAGGACTCAACAAGTAATGAGTAGATAATAAAATGATAATAGAGAGAACTACAGAGAAATGTGCACCAATATATTGGAAAATTTAGTGAAATTGAGGAAAATTCCTAGAAATATGAATAAATCCAGAAAATAGAAAATTTGAGTTACTCTCATCCTACTTGCATTTGAAGAAAAATTATACTAAATATTCAAAGAATAGATTCTTCAAATTTAAGAAAATTCATTCAGAGACTTGAAGGAGGGTACTTTGAAATGTTATGTCCTGGGACGTCCGTTTTGGTCCAGTGGTTGGGACTCTGCCCTCCCAAGGCAGGGGGACCAGGTTCGATCCCTGGCCAGGGAACTAGATCTCACATGCTACAACTAAAGAGACTCTGTGCCACAACTAGGACCCAGCACAGCCAAATAAATTAAATAAATGTATGTCCTAAAGCTAATAAAGTCTTCATACTAAAATCACTGTAGGACAATAGGATAAATGGCAATTATGACCCAATCCGTCATGGACATGGCTTTGATTTCTTCAAAGCCCCCTCCAAAATCAATTAAAAAATTCATTCAACACTGTAAAACAAGACAATACATAATACATTGTGACCAAGTTGGATTTATTAATCATATTTAAGATTATTATGTCACATAATTCTCCATATTAGCATATTGAAAACAAAAGTATAACAACTTTATAGTTGCAATAGAGTAAAAAAAAATTTGATAATATTTAACCATTCACAACAAAATTAGATAAAATAAAAAAAAACCTTTTCACAAAAACATGACATAGTTGTTTTTTTTTAAATAATAGGATCATATGACAGAATAACTTGTAACAGAAAAAACAAATGAAGTTGAATTACACACTTACACTTGAATAAATGTCAAACATATCTTATAGAAAAAATTAGAGAATGTCAACAGTATGATTCTACTTATACAACTGCTAAAAATGCACAAAATTACACACAGTTTCCACTTATGTTACATATAGGTGGGAGAACTCTAAATAAGAAATTTTTAGCACAAATTTAGGAGAAGATATTTCTGGAGTGGGGGAGAAAGAGAGTGTAATCAGGGAGGGGAACATATGGATTTAAAGTTACCATTAATGCTTTATTCCCTAAACTGGTAACTATTGTAAGTTTTCTTAAAACACTACATATACATAATCTGTACTTTTTTGCATGGTAGATTTCACATTAAGATGTTTCAAGATAAAATTAAATACGTTGAAAGATTTCATTTACAAAAGTGACAAAAGTATGAAATACGTAGTAAGAAATATGCAAGTTTAATACAAAAAATCTGTTGCATAGCATAAATCGTGACTTGAATAGAAATATGTCTTTCAAAAACTAGGATCCAATATTATAAAGATGTCAAAGATATAGTGCAAAATACCAAATTTATCAGCATTTTCTATTAAATTTATGGTGTCTGTGTGTCTTCAAGCTTAATACAAATAGAAAAAGATCAGTCTTGAATCCTTTCTTATTTCCATGAAATGCCTCCTTTTATTTTCTAATCTTTCCTTGAAAAATGAGACTTAAGTAATTTGACATCATTCTATTGCCCACCTGGAGCAAATGTGTCCAGAAGAGGGTGATCTTCACGGTGCTGTCCTGTGGGCCCATCCAAGGCCGTGTGTTCTGTGTAACCAATGCATTTAAGGAACGTGGAGAGGAACTGGCTCCCACCTTCTCGCCTCTAATTCCCCAAATAACGTCTGTGAATATAGCCTCTTCACAACCTCACTTCCTAATTAAGAAAGTGACATGTTTAGAAAGGATTTTAAATGACAGCATTTGTCAAGCCGTTTGTTTAGTGAACTCTCTGGGTGTGCTGTTACACAAGAACTGTCTTAATTAAGGTTAATTGGTGCATAATTAGAGCCGCTGCTGACTTAAAAGATTCCACTTGTGGTAAAGCGATGAGAACCCTTAATGTCTAGACCAAGGACAAAGCAATCACAAGCCAAATTTCAAGACACACTCTGCGTCTCAAACGCAGGGGCCATACCCCTGGTTTGACCTGTTCAGAACAGCACCTCTTATCCAAATGTTTGGGAAGCCCTTGTGAGCTTTAGAGCAAGTCTATTTCCATCCTCATGGTAGTTAGAAAAAACAAAGAAAAATAAATGTCCTGGTGACTGGTTATTCTACACCAGGTTAATATTTAGCTCAGGTAACAATCAACTCCACTTTTCTCTGGGGCCTTATCTTTCCTTTGTATAAAGAGGGCAGTGGGGTAGGCAGGAAGACGGGCAGAGAGCACAGACACAAATGAACTGGAAAGGAGGTTATAAAATGATTTTTCCCTGGTATTCCTGTTTTTTTTTTTCTTTTAAGATGAAAGCATCCAGCAATGGCTGGCTTTATAAAGAACTTGTCTGGTAAGCAACATACATAGTAAATGAAAATGAGAGAACATATAGATCTTCCCCCTTCGCTTGACTTTCAATTTCTACATTTAGTGTCAGGCAAAAGAATTCAGTAGAAGAAAATTATTGGTATATTTGAAAGAGTTGAGAGCTCAAATCAAGAAAATACTATGGACACAGCAACAAGACAAAGTGCCATGCTCAAAAGTCAAATCTAAAAAAATCCCCAAATTATTCGGAATCTAGAGATTGACTAGAACTTCCATAAGGAAATGCTGTTTTTTTGTTCTTGTTTTCGTTTGCGGTTTATTTTTAAAATTTCTAATCCATTGTGGACTATTATGTTTTTGCAAAATACGATATAAATGAGTTACTAAATAAAATTTAAATTACTTAATTACTTTTTTGACTGGCCCTTCCCCATGTGGGATCACAATTCCCCAACCAGGAATGGAATCCACACCCCCCTGAACTGGAAGGTGGAGTCTTAACCACTGAACCGCCAGGGAAGTCCTGCTGCTGCGGCTGCTGCTAAGTCGCTTCAGTCCTGTGCGACCCCATAGACTGCAGCCCACCAGGCTCCACTCTCCCTCGGATTCTCCAGGCAAAATCACTGGAATGGGCTGCCATTTCCTTCTCCAATGCATGAAAGTGAAAAGTGAAAGTGAAGTCGCTCAGTCGTGTCCGACTCTTAGTGACCCCATGGACTGCAGCCCACCAGGCTCCCCCATCCATGGGATTTTCCAGGCAAAAGTACTGGAGTGGGGTGCCATTGCCTTCTCCATGAAGCCCCACTAAACAAGTTTTAAAAGACATAAAGCTACAATCCAAATATCTTAACATCAGACCTCTGTACGCTACCTCCTTTATGCTCAACACATATAAAACGATTTAGTTTTTTACATGCAGCTGCTATAAAAGTCTTTCTTTTCGAAGTCTGTACTTATCTTTCTGCTTAGCCCTGAGACGTAGCTGGGATAGAGGCTCCAGAGTTTCACGCGCCGGACGCCTGGATGGGTGCCTCTCCCCCCACCCTCTGCCCCACATCACGGGGCCCAAGCATCCCCCCTGCAGCATGAGCCGTCCATTCCTGCGATCTGGCCTGCGGAGGTCCCTCCTCTCCGGCCTTTCAAGCAGAGACCTTCATCTGACCCTGCCCGGCTACTGGGCGAGGCTCCGTTGCCCTGTGACACCGAAGGGCTCGGGAGCCGCAGAGGGCTCGAGTCCCTGAGCATCGGGGTTTACCGATGCGTGGTGTGAACTAGGCTCCAAGTGAGGAGCCTGGGAGGAGGGGCCTCCGCTGCCCCGGTTACCCAGGTGGTTCCCATCCCAGGCCCCTCCTGCAGCCTCGCAGAACTGCGGGGTGGGGATGCTCCTGGAAGGGTGCTCAAGGCTGCAGTGCCCGGGCCTGGCCCCGCCACGCTCCACGGATGAGCTTCTGCGGATGCTCAGCGCGTGCCAGCGCATCCTCTCACTTCACGTTCATCAGGACCCACACACAGGAACACACCCAGATTCGCCTTGTCTGAAAAACAAAAAAGAGCTGCTCTATGAACCCCGCTTAGAAAACAGCTGAACCAGGTAACGTGCGGAAGGATTTCCTTTTTGCAAATTTTGAGCCAACTTCACATCAGTTTGCTCCTTCTCCAGTTGGCTGTTGCTTAATAATTGTTTTATAATATACCTCTCCTCTTCGTTATGGAGTTTTGAAATATCCATAAATTTTTAAAGCCCTTTTTCCAATCAGATCCACTTACCCTTCTGACATCTTTAGATATTCTTCCAAGAATACTTAATGCTTCAGTGATAAGATTTACTGCTCCCTAAAAAAAAGAGTAACAAGGGCTAACAGGTACATGGCTTGCCTTTGTGTTCAGTTTGAATACATTGGAGATGCGGCAGATGGACCTTTGATAAATTCCATTTCTTCCTCCAAAACCTGCAATGCTGTGTTTTGATAAGACGCCAGCTTGGCGCCAGTTTCCTCTAGCTGATTGAGCCTTGCCTGCTGTGTGTTCCCTGGAAATTGAACCTCTATCCAGGACGCTTAGTGGAAAAGCTTTTGTCAGGTGGTAACATTGGTCTCTGCCATATAAGAAAACTCCCTCCCACTGCAGAGTGGGCAGAGACCCACTCCTTAATCAGAGTGACAAACTTCACAAGCTCCCAGTGGGTCTGGCAAGTGAGTCGCTGGATTTCCGGTCATGCATCCTAATTTGTGAGACATTGGATAACAGACACGTGCTCTGAAGGCTAAGGATTTAATTTATCATCTGAAAATGTGGGCTATTACAAGCCTCTTTTCAAAAGCATTTTTATTATTCAGAATGGTAGCATATGTAGACTTCTGCTTAGCCCACATCAAAGTTCATTCTGTATACCATCATTCTGTGAGAATCAGCAATTTACAAGTTTCCAGGAAATTGAGGAGCAATGAAACACATAAGCGTCTGATGCTTCACAGAACATGACTAATCTCCTTAATGGCTTTGAAGGCAGTTGAGATTTTCACATTCCTCTGTGTAATCATTAAAAAACAACACTTCTCACAAGGCTGGGCAACAAACATAAAAGAATGGATGCACAGGCAGATTGTCTTTTATTCTGTGGCACACTCTAGCCATTTACTGAGCAAAAGTCTCATAACTTTGTTCATTATTCAACCATTAAAAATATAGTTGGGGGCATGGGTGGTTATTCAAGATTTTCTATTATTATTGATCCATGTATAAGACTTTTTGGTTAAACCATTTACCCAAAGGGAACATTTTTTAATCCATTTTACTCTTAAAGTTTTCCAAAGGAAACTTTTAGAAAAAACCTTCCTAGTTTCTTTTCTCCTCTGATGTCCAACCTTATGGCTGTTGATACAATTACCAAGTATTAATCAGAACAGTACTGGTCTACTCATAGTGGTTTATATATGCAAATTAGGAACTTTCAATTTATGTGACCCTAGGAATTGCCAGAAAACAACTTAGCTTCTTGGTCATTTAAGAAATATATTTTCCTAACTGATATCAGTCAATAGAAAATGTTCCTTTAAACCTGGGTGAGGACTCTAGTATGTTGAACTATATGAAATTGCCATTATTATGGGTCAAGATGGTCAAGTATTGGCAATTTCATGTGGTCCACCCTAACAGATGACATGACATGTGTTTTTAGACTATTTTTTAAGGTTTGAGTCTAAAATGATTCTAAAAAGAGCAACCTCAATACTTTTAGTAGAAGACCTTGAAATGGATTTGCTTATAAAAAAGAAGAAACAAAAAAACAGATTTAGCTGTTGTATCCTGTTAGTATGAAGAAGGACATCTAGAGATAGTCACTGAAGTGATTTAATGAGCTCTAGGTGTGTCCTTTAAAAGCAATGTGATTCCTTTTCTCGACATTCAAAATGACATTTGAGAGAGAGACATTAAAGTGAATGATCACTGAGGAACTTTTCCCTTTAGTAGTGATTTCAAGGTATAAAAATATTTGTTTATAAATCTTTGTATTGATTTGAAGACATACAAAGATTGGGTAAATCTTTGTGTTGGTATTTTATGCAGTAACGTGGGCAGTCGTGCTGAACTTTTCAGTTTATTGTTGATTTCAAGATGCACAGACCCTGGTTCCGTGGACAGTTAATACTGCTCAGATGCCATCCCAGTTTGAAAGGAGACTGACCTTTCTGTACCCATATAAATGGGGTTACAAGGAAGCATCAGACTCCAAGTGACTTTATGTAATATAACTTTCCATTGAATTTGAATGTTTACAAAATAACTTCAACTCAAAATCTTGCCATTGTCAGCAAGATTTAAACACCTATATTAGTCTTTAAACACCTATATTCTGCCTTGGAATGCTATGCTGTATTTTTTTAGCACAAAGTAGCCATCTAAATTTTTAGACAATGGTGAAGCAAATATGTCTCTGATTTCACATTTCTAGAGCTATTCAAGATTCAGTAGTATTCACTTTCAAAATATATGTGCATAAATACTTTTTGAGTAGTAAAACATTTCATTCCAAGCTAATAAGTAAGTGAGAATTATGAATCTAATGCTCCGTGCTTATAAAGTACTACTTATCAGTGTCCAACTTTATTGCCACATTTTATTCTTATTGAATTAATATCAGCATCTTTCAATTTTTTCATGTCTTTCATTAAACAAAAAGGATTTATTCCATATGGAATAAATGGAATAATGAATGCTGGGTACTGAGTAAAATGTTTTTGTATATCTTATTGTCATAAGCCTAAAAGTATCTACCCATTATCTACTCTCAGATATAAAAAATCATATTGGAATATGATTGGAGGACTGGAATCCAGTCTTTTCTCTATCACAGTGTAAGAATTGCTGTGAAATACATACTGCAGGAATAACTAGATGTTCCGGTTGCCACACTAGTATGGGTCAGATTTTGATAAAAGTCACCTGGAAATCTTGATAAAATGCTGATTCTAATTCAGTATTTTGGAATGGAGCTGGAGGTTTTGCATTTCTAACAAGCTTCCAGATGATACTACTGATCCATAGGTCCCGCCTGCATTGATTGAACGCACAGTCAGGTGGAGAGTCACTGTCTGCACTTTGAGGTGGGTGGTTCAGTGTTAGAGTTCTCGCCTCACACAGGGGAGACCGGGACCAATTTCCAGCCAGCATGGTGTGGTCCTGTTTCCTTTGGGGGCTTCCCTGGCGGCTCAGATGTAGAGTATCTGCCTGCAATGCAAGAGACCTGGGTTCAATCCTTGAGCTGGGAAGAACTCCTGGAGAAGGGAATGGCTACCTGCTCCAGTATTCTTGCCTGGAGAATTCCATGGACAGAGGAGCCAGGTGGGCTCTAGTTCATGGGGTTGCAAAGAATTGGACATGATTGAGCAACTAACACTTTGAAATGGGGTAACAGCTTTGAGAAGAGATGTCATGCATTAACCATATCCTACAGGGTGCCAAAGAACAGCACTCTAGGTGTAGGGGCTCCTGGAATTCACAGACTTAATTAGGAGTTGGGAGAGTGGGGAGCTTTTCCAATGGTATTTTAGTTTTGTGGCTCTATGCAGAGTAAGAGCAAAGAAATAAGAGATGGTCAGAAATAGAACATCGGAGATGACATAAAGAGACATGTGGGAGCTGTGGAGCTCATGGGGAACCAACTTCACACCCTGTAAGGAGTGGCTGTGGCAAATGAGTACTTAAACAAATGAAATGCTTTACCTGAGAATATACCTTCTCCTCATAGGGGACTGGGATGCAAAAGTAGGAAGTCAAGAGATACCTGGAATGGCAGGCAGGTTTGGCATTAGAGTACAAAATGAAGCAGGGAAAAGGCTGACAGAGATTTTTCAAGAGAACATGCTGGTCATAACCACAATGACCCAGATGACCACAGTGGTGTGGTCAGTCCCCTGGATCAGGACATCCTGGAGTGTGAAGTCAAATGGGCCTTAAGAAGCATTACTATGAACAAAGCTAGTGCAGGTGGAAGAGTTTCAGCTGAGCCATTTAAAATCCTAACTCATTTCAATGTATGACAAAAACCACTGCAATGATGTAAAGTAATTAGCCTCCAACTAATAAAAATAAATGGAAAAAAAAATCCTAAAAGATGATGCTGTTAAAGTGCTACACTCCATATGCCAGCAAATTTGGAAAACTCAGCAGTGGCCACAGGACTGGAAAAGGTCAGTTTTCATCCAGTCCCAATAGCAAACACCTTTTCCCAACAACCTAAGAGACGACTCTATACCTGGACATCACCAAATGGTCAGTACTGAAATCAGATTATGTTCTTTGCAGCCGAAGATGGAGAAGCTCTATACAACCAGCAAAAGCAAGACCTGGAGCAGATTGTGGCTCACACTATGAGTCCTTTTGCAAAACTCAGGCTTAAACTGAAGAAAGTAGGGAAAGCCACTATGCCAGTCAGGTGTGACCTAAATAAAATCTCTTATGATTATACAGTGGAGGTGAAGGATACATTCAAGGGATTAGATCTGGTAGAGAGAATGCCTGAAGAACTATGAATGAAGTTCATAATATTGTACAGGAGGCAGTGACCAAAACCATCCCAAAGAAAAAGAAATGCAAGAAGGCAAAGTGGTTTTCTGAGGAGGCTTTAAAAATAGCTGAGGAAAGAAGAGAAGTGAAAGGCAAGGGAGAAAGGGAAAGATAAACCCAACTGAATGCAGAATTGCAGAGAATAGCAAGGAGATTAAAGAAGGCCTTCTTAAATGACCAATGCAAACAAACAGAGGAAAACAGATCTCTTCAAGAAAATTGGAGGTATCAAGAGAACATTTCATGTAAGGATTGGCACAATAAAAGACAGAAACAATAAGGACCTAACGTAAGCAGAAGCAATTAATAAGAGGTGGCAAAAATACACAGAAGAACTATACAAGAAAGGTCTTAATGACCACAGTGGTGTGGTCACTCACCTAGAGTAGGACATCCTTGACTGTGAAGTCA